GTGCCGCCGAGCCGCTGAGTCCGCAAGGAGCTTGAGGAAGACTGGCACCTCCGCGCATGGGCAGCCATACGTGTACACTGCCAGGGGGAAGAAACCAACCGTCTCCGGACGGTTGGCATAGTGTTTAATCTTCTTGTCGGCCTGCTCCCGGGCCGCCCACCCCCTGCCTTTCTGAGCCTCTGGGTCCCTGGTGCTTATAGGATCGGTGACGGTGACGTCACAAATGTAGACCGCTCCGCTACTTCTGTCCGTCATTGTGAAATCCGCAGTTTGTTCTTCGATGGGGCAGTAGGCGGTAGACTCCCGGTGGACTATAAAGCCTGCATCTTGCGCCATGCTGACGCAGGCATCCCGTAGCTCGTTGCGGGTGTTCGTGCGGTGCTTGCCTGTGGCGCACCGAAGCAGGTGGTTCGGAAGGCGGCCAGGGGTCAATGATGGCCGTGTGCTCTGGGCAATCACAATTTTTGGGGGTTGAGAATGGCAGGGCCAGGCGGAAGCACACGGCGTTTGCAAAGTGTACTGGCCCAATCCGCCGCGTCGGGGCCACTGGGACCGCCGTGATCCAGTCGCCAGTGCCGTAGCCGGTCAGGGAAAACATCCGCTGTGTGTGCCCAGCGAGTGGATTCAGCTGCATGCCCCTCGTCGCTTGCACCTGAACGGCGTATCTACTGCCGTGCACCTTCAGTCCGAGAACGTGTTGAAGCCGTAAGTCAGATCGTTCCAGCCGTTCCTTCTCTAGTATCTCCCGTGCATCTGTCGGCAGCGCCTCCTCACACCCCGTCAACCAAACGTGAAGTGGCGTGCTGCTGTCCCGCGGCAGGAGCATGTGGTCCCGCGCCAGTGCAAGCGCATTCCCTTCTCCCAGCGAGAAGTTGTTGAGGAATAGCGCTGCCTGGGTGAAACTCGCCGTGAAGCCGTAGATCCCTTCGATGAGGGGGTTTGTGATGCCTAGACCTCCCAACGATGGAGGTAACGACGCCTGCTCCCAGACCCGTGTTTGCTCAGCTCGGCAGGTCGGCATGCGAATGTCGCAGGAGGTGAGGAGGGCGGTGAGCAGGTCCATACCCCACTGGCTCCATTTGTCGCAGGGGAGGAGGATTAGGGGCGTCGTCCGTGTCAGGTAAGCGACACGCCTCGAAATACAGCGGGTGATTAGCAGTGCTGCTACTTGGGGATCCGTCCGTTCAATGAGCGTTAGTGGCTTCGCCATCTCGGCCAGCTGACCCGCGAGGAAAGTTGCCGCGCCGTCGTCAGGCCCCATGAAACTGCCTAGTAGCTGCACGCTGTCCTTTGAAACGGCACTCCTGGAGGTAGGTGGGATGTTTGCACTGTACTCGAGCTCCACGCCGCACACTTCTGGCGGTTGGCGTAGTGGCTTATCTTCTTGTCCGCTGCCTCCCTTGCCGCCCACCCCCTCCCTTTGGTAGCCTTGGGGTCCCTAGTGCTAATGGGGTCTGTGATCGTCACGTCGCAGACATAGACCGCCCCTGTGCTCCTGCAGCGCATGGTGAAGTCGGCGGTCTGTTCTTCTATGGGGCAGTATGCCGCTGATTCCCTGTAGACTATAAAGCTCGCGTCTTGTGCCATTGTGATGCAGGCGTCCCGCAGTTCGTTGTGGGTGTTGGTTCTGTGCTTTCCTGTACCGCAGCGGAACAGGTGGTTAGGAAGCCGTGGGTCTTTGATCTCCGTGTGTTTAGAGCAGTCACTGTTTTTCGGTGTGGGGAAGGGAAGCCCGAGCCTGAAGCGGACAGCATTGGTGAAGTGCTCTGCTCCTACGCGTCGGGTTGATTCTATTGGCACTGCTGTCAGCCAGTCCCCTGTACCGTAGCCCGTCAGTGAGAAATACCGCTGTGTATGGCCTGACAGTGGGTTTAGCCTCATGTGCCTTGTTGCCTGCACTTGTGATGCATATCTGCTGCCCTGCACCCTCACCCCGAGCTCGTGCTGCAGCTTCAACCCTGATGGCTCAAGCCGTTCTTTCTCCAGGATGTCTCTGGCTTCCTGTGGCAAGGACGCTTCACATTCGGACAGCCAATGGTGCAGCTCGGTAGATATGTCTCCCGGCAGCAGCATGTGGTCCCTGACCGCCGTCAGGGCTTCCTCTGGTCCTAGCGGTAGGGAACTAAGGAGGAGTGATGCCTGTGTAAAGCTGGCTAGGAAGCCAAATGCACCCTCCACCGTGGGGTCCGTGAGTCCTATGCCCCCTGGTAACGGTGGGAGCGATGACTGCTCCAAGATCCGCTGTTGTTCTGTGCTGTCTGCTGGGAACCGTATGCCGCACGCCGTTAGGAGGGTGGACAGTAGGTCTCTACCCCACTGTGACCATGTACTGTCGTCCAGAAGGTGCAGGGGTGTTGTGCGTGTGAGATAGGCTACTCTAGCTGTGGTTCCATCCGTTCTATCAAGGGCAGCGGCTTGGACATGGCCAGTAACTGTGCGGTGAGGAAGGAGGATGCGCCGTCTACTGTTCCTAGGAAGCTGCCCAGTAGCCTCACTCCATCGTTACTAGTTGGTACCCCTGGCGGCAGTTGCACTGTTTCGTCTAACGGACGGCTGCTCCATGCGGCACATTTTCGTGGATTGTGCTGCAGGCCTACTTGAGAGAGTTGGCCCGTGAAGTGTTCAAAAGCGGCGGCGGTCTCCTGCGGTTTGCCCAGAAAGCTGACGTCATCGGCGTACGCCAGACACAGTACTCCTGGATGTGCGGTAGCTGTTGCCCGTAGTGCTGGGTGAATTCCAGCCGCGAACAATAAGGGACCTAAGGGGTCCCCCTATCGTACCCCTCGTTCACTTGTCAGTGGCGTGCTACTGAAGCTAGCGTCTAGGAGAAGTGAAGACGGGTGGCCGTATGTCATCTTCACTAGAGGCAACAGAGGTGATAGGGCCGAGTCTTGCAATGCTGTGATTATCGCCTGTCTCGATATGCTGTTGAAGGCGTTTGAGATGTCGGTCTGTAAAACGAGGCAGTCTGGGTGTGCGTCTGTGTATGCTCTGGCGCTGTGGATGATGGCCTCTGCTCCCCCTGGCACAGCCACCCCGTACTGAAGCGGTAGAAAATAACCCCGCGCCGCTTCGCCCAGGGCTGACAGCGCGGCCTTTGCAGTCAGTCTAATCAGACATTCGCCAATTGCTATTGGGCGGGCCCCACCTTCAGGCTTGGCCAGAGCTATCAAACGTGATGCCGTGAGCAGTTCCGCTACTTGCTGCGGCAATTTCCCTCGCAGAATTGTGTTTACCAAGGCGTGCAGGTGGGTTGAGACAGCTGCATTTGTTACTGACGCATCGCGAAGATGTTCGAATGTTATACCGCTCGGGCCGGCCCCAACGCCATTCTCGCATCGGCTCAGCAGCTTCGAAAAATCCGCGTATGAGATCGCGAGGTTTGAAGGTTCGGCAGGGTCTGGGTCAGCGGCTGGGTGTTTCCGACGGAGTTCGGCCAGGATTTCCGGGCTGGATGTACAGACTGGCGTTGACTCGAGCGCCAGCACGGCTCGGCATAGGTTTCCATTCTTCGCGAGCCCCTCCGCTCTGCTAATGGAGCCGATCTCGTCAGGTTGGTGACGTGGCGGGGGAGGCGTGTTGACTGCCTCCACCGCGTCCAGGTACAGCTGTTGCCATTCGCCTCTCTGGAATGCCCGAAGGCGGGCTTTGATTTTTGACCAATCAGGCCGCTTCGGCGTACCCTGTCGAAGTGTGAGGCGGGGGAGGAATAGTAGTAACCGCCAGCCTGCGATTGAGTCTGGGTTTTGCGCGAGGTGTAGCAGGGGTGTCAGTAGGACGAGCGAGAAAATTTCGCACAAGTTTGGCGGTAGCCGTCGTAACAGCATGGGCTGACGACTGTCGCAGAGAGGTGCGATGTCCCGGTTCGCCACCTCCACGAATCTGTTTGCCTGCCTTGCCAGTTCTTCTGGCGAGAAATATCGCGGGATGTGAGGCTGGCGGGCCGCATTCGCCTGACCACTTCTGGTTCGATTTGCACGCCCGCGGCTCGGAGCACTGGTGGGGTTCGGGGTTGGGATTGTGGCCGTCCGATCCCCATCCTGTGGCTCTCGTCCATTTCTTGGTTGCACGGCCGCTCCCCTTTGATTCCTCCCCCTTCCTCTTCCCACCTGCCCCCTCTCCTCCTCGTCCTCGCCTTCCCCATTGCTGCTGCTGCTTTCATCGTTTGTCTCCTCCCTATAAGACGGGTCATTTCTTTCTTCCCTTTCAGTATCAAGTAGTGTTAAAGCCCGTCGCCCTGCAGACTGGAACGCGTTCTCCGGGCCGCCTTCTACACCGCGTCCTTCCTGTCGTCCCGCTCCTCTTCCTCTATTCCCTCGCGATGGTGATTGCTGGCGAGTCGTGGCCATCGCCATCGCACGCTGCCGCTGTGTCAGCGGTGACCGGAAGAGCCCCGCCTGCCCTCGTCTCGGGGATTGCTGCGATGAAGCCGCCAGTCCCACCTGCTCCGAAGCCCTCGCTGTTAAGAGAACTAGGCAAGAAGGAGAGCATTGAACGGAAGAATTGGGTACAAGTAGCAAACCCTAGTTGGGGTTGTACCCCATATCAGCTACCCCACTACAGCCTACCAACATATAACACATTACAATTTAACACACCCCCATAGGCAAAGTGGGGGAGAACAAAGGGTCACAAGACCAGTCCAGCAAAGCAACGCAAGCCCAGGGTGGATCACAAAGTCACCACACTCCGAGCACAAGCAAAGGCCACAAGGCCAATTCACATGCAGTGCTAGATATAGTACAAGACAAGCAACAAGATATATATAAAGTACAGTACAAAGAATGTCAAGCAGTGAGCAAGTGAGGAAACGTGGACACAAGGCCTAAAGAAGTACAGTGCCGCTGATGATCACTAGGCGGGAGCGCCTTGGTGAAGATATCAGCAGTGTTGGCCTTCGAGTCCACGTACACAAGCCGAAGCTGACCTCGCTGCTGCAGCTCTCGAGCAAGAAAGTAGCGAAGAGCAATGTGCTTCGTCCTGTGCTCCAGTCTGTGCTCCTAACACAAGGCAAGGGCCGCCTTGTTGTCGCCGTACAGAACTGGAGGAGAACTAGGCCGCTCTCCCAAGTCAGTCAGCAGGTAGGTGAGCCAGCGTAACTCCTGTGCAGCCATGGCCGTGGCGTAGATCTCAGCCTCACAACTAGAGCTGAGAACAGAAGAAGAACGGGTGGACCGCCACGAGACAGAACCAGAGCCAAGGCTGAAGGTGTAACCCTGCGACGACCGCTGCGTAGCCAAGTCGTCCACCCAAGAAGCGTCCGAGTGACCAGTGAGAACAACTCTGTCGTGTCCTCCAAGCACCAGCCCCATGCCTGATGTACTGCACAAGTAACGCAGCACCCTCTTAGCAGCCTCCCAGTGCTCTCTCCTGTGTCTCCCAGGCGCAACGTAACGAGCAAGGATGCTAAGAGGGTACGCGAGGTCAGGTCGTGTGCAAGTCATCAGGTACATGAGGCAGCCTACAAGCTCTGGGTACGGGCCACTCGGCTCTACGGACTCGTCCGAAGGTGGAGCTGAGAGCGAGTGGCTGGTAGCCAGAGGTGTGGCCTGTGGTGAGGAGAACTGGAAGCCGAAGCGCTGAAGGACCTGCTGCACCATGTGTGACTGAGTCAGGGTGATGGTGCGGCGAGCTCTGTCCCGGGTGATCTGCAAGCCAAGGTAGCTACGCAGTTCACCCAGGTCAGTGCAGGTGTGTCTCTTCTGCAGCTCCGACTTCACACGAGCGAGTGCCTCAGTGTCAGCAGTAGCAAAGACCAAGTCGTCGACGTACACGAGAATGTAGAACGGCGGCAGCGACGTGTCTGTGCGCAGAAACAGCGACGGGTCAGCAGTAGACGGCGCGAACCCAAGAGCCGCAAGTGTAGTCCTCAGTGTGTCGTGCCACTCACGTGGCGCCTGGCGGAGACCGTAGACTGGCCGGCGGAGGCTCCACTGGGTACCAGGAGGAAACGACCCAGTAAAGCCAGGTGGGCGGCGCAGCCAGATCTCCTCGTGCAGGCTGCCCTGCAGGAACGCTGTGCTGAAGTCAAGAGAGTGAAGCTCGTAGTCACGCTGAGCAGCAACGTGCAGCAGAACCCGAAGAGTGGTCATCTTCGGGGTGGGGGAGAAGGTCTGGAAGAAGTCAACCCCCTGACGCTGACTGAAGCCTCTAGCAACGTAACGAGCCTTGAAGACAGGCGGAGAACCTGGCGGCCGCTTCACCCTGAAAATCCACATGCCATCGACAATGTTCGCCCCAGGAGGGGGAACGTCGTCGACGTAGGTGCCTGTGGACTTCCAGGATGCCATCTCTGCGTCCATGGCTGTCTGCCACTGAGAGGAGTAGGGACCCGAGATCGCCTCTGCGTAAGTGCGCGGGGTCGGGATGTCTGGTGCATCCGGGTCTCCCTCAGGGGCAAGCAACCAGGCCACGAGATGAGGTACAGCAGCCGCGAGAGAGTCAAAGTCCTCCTGCCTGTCCTCAAGGACGTCCGTGCCAAGAGCACACTCACCCCCGACGGACGGAGGACAGACAGACGCAGACTCAGACCCAGCAACAAGGCGAGCAGCGTAGTCTAGACGACAGGCAGCAGCAAAGTCAACCAACTCAGCGACCAGAGCAGACGCAGCCGAGGACTCAAATGTAGGGTCAGTGACAACAGTAGCTAGGAGACGCGTGACAGTAGGGTGCTCAGCACGATACCGGTCAGACTCAGGGTCCGGAACGGCAGGCAAAGAGGACGCAGGAGGAGACGGTAGAGGGACACGCTGAGGAGCAGTAGAGGGACGCAGAGTCATGTAGTGAGTGCCGGGGACAGGAGGAGGACGCTCACGACGGACACGACGACCAGTGCGAGCAGTACGGACAGGCGACGTAGGACGAGACTCAGGCTCACGACGCTCTGTAAGACCTCCTGTGGGACCAGTGTAAGGAGAGGGAGCAGGGAGAGGCGAGGCAGGCGGTAACTGTGACTGCGGCTGGACAGTCGGAGGACACTCTACGGAGGGAGGAGGACAAGGAGGAGGAGCCTGCCCAAGAACCTGCTGAAGGAGCGGTACGAAGTACGGCCGCGGCCGCGCAGCGTCTCCAGAAGTAGAAGAGACTCCAGCGTCCGGGTCCCCAGCACCAGCAGCAGCGCCACCGCTCGGGTCCTCAGCTCCAGCAGCAGCTCCACCAGGTGGGTCCGCAGCACCAGCAGCAGCACCACCCCCAGGGTCCGCAGCTACAACTCCGCTAGCGCCGCCAGCTCCAGAGTCCCCAGCTCCAGCAGCTCCAGTCGTAGTGCTCCCAGAACAACCAGTCCCGGCAGCTCCAGTACCCCCAGCTCCAGCCGAGCCACTAGGACGGCGAAAGCGCCGGACGTACCAGTCACGAAGCTGCTGTGGTGTGAGAGACTGCTCAGCACCCCGAACCGGAGCACCCCCAGACGCAGCAACCCGAGGCTCCGTAGGCTCAGTAGCAGCACCCCCAGGCTCAGTACCCGCAGGCGCAGCACCCCCAGACTCAGCACCCCCAGACTCCGCACACGCCGGCTCAGCACCCCCAGTCGCAGCACCCCCAGGCTCAGCACCCCCAGGCGCCGAACTCTCAGGCACAGTACCCTCAGCTCCAGCACCCGTAGTCCCAGCACCCCCAGGCCCAGCACCCGCAGGCTCAGCACTCCCAGCAGCACCACCTGCAGCAGCACCTGAGTCACCTGTGACCTCGACAGGCTCAGCGACGGGAGGAGGGTCTACCTGAGAGACACCTGAAGGAGCAGGACCCTGAGGGGGAAGGGGGTCTACCGGAGGGGGACCAGGAGCAAGGAAAAGCGGCGGGGGAGGGAGGGGGGCAGTACGGTAGGGGAAGAGACGGTAAAAAGGGACCGACTCGTCAAAGGTGACGTCCTGAGAGGCGAAGACCCGGCGCGAGGTGGGGTGGTAAAACTGCCAGCCCGGCGCGTCAGGGACAAAGCCAAGGAAGACACAGGGAAGCGTGCGGGAGGAGAGCTTGTCCGCGGACGTATCGCGGACAAGGGCACGAGCACCCCACACCCGGAAGCGCGACGCATCGCCAACCTCCCCCGTCCAACGCAGTGTGGGCGAGGTCTCCGGCAAGGAGACACGGGGCCAGAGGTTGAGCTGATGCGCGGCGTACCGGACAGCAAACGGCCACAGAAAATGGGGAGCCGCCGCGTGGACCAAGGAGGTACGAGCGACCTCCATGACCAGGCCAATGCGGCGCTCAGCAACCCCATTCTGCTGTGGGGAGTCCGGAAGCGTGAAGGTCTGCTCGATGCCCTCCGCCTGACAGAAGGTCCTCAAGAGGTCGGAGGAAAACTCACCACCTCTGTCAGAGTGCAGACGCAGGACAGGAAGATCCGTCCGGAAACGGCGGCGGAGCTGGAGACGAACTGTGCGGATCCAAGGGATCAGAACAGCAGGGACCTCACCCTTGGTGCGCAAGGGGAAGACCGTGGTGTAACGCGAGTAGTCGTCGACAACCAGCAAAAAGTACCGCTCACCGCCCTGGCCACGAACGCGGGCTGGGCCCCACACGTCCAGGTGGAGGGTCTGCAGAGGAGCCCCTGTCGGGGGGAACGAGGAGGAGTGAGGAGCGGCGCGCTGCCGCCCCTCGACGCAAGGAAGGCAAGGCGGCGCAGGCGAGGAAGGGAGAGGAGGGAGGGACCTGGGAAGACCAGACACAAGGCGGCGACGGTGCATGCCACGGAGGCGTGGCAAGGAGGGGTGACCCAGGCGGTGGTGCCAGAGAAGAGTCTGGTGCGACAGGGAACGACACTCACAGGCGTGGGCCACCAGACCTGACGCGGACACCTGACCGACAGCAGCGACCTGAGGAGACGCAGTGGTCAGTGTGTAGAGACTCGACCCCGGCCGACGAGTAAACGTAGCCAGGTGACGGCCGGTCCTGGAGCACGTGCAGCTCGCCTGGCTATTCGCAATCACCTGCCGTTAGCTGAGCTAGAGCACTTTGGCGACTGCAAAACCGCTAAAGCCCTATACGACGCTGTCGTTGCTCGCTACTCCTCACCTGCCACAGCCGAGCTTAGCCGTCTCATGCTGCCTTACCTGTTCCCTGACCTGTCCACCTTTGCTACAGTCGCCGATCTTATCACCCACCTTCGCACTAGTGATGCTCGCCTGCGTGCCGCCCTTCCCACCGAGTTCTGCGCCAAGAACCCCTCTCCCCTGTACTGGGCACTCCACTTCATAGTCACCCGTCTCCCTGACACCCTCAGCTCAGTGCGCGACTATTTCCTTGCTCTGATACCATGTTAAGAGAACTAGGCAAGAAGGAGAGCATTGAATGGAAGAATTGGGTACAAGTAGCAAACCCTAGTTGGGGTTGTACCCCATATCAGCTACCCCACTACAGCCTACCAACATATAACACATTACAATTTAACACTCGCCCCCTGCCGCTTGTGTCTCACTGCCTCCGGATCCACTCTCCGTGACGAGCGCGGCTCTGCCGTCGCCGTTGCCTGTTCCGCCTGCCCCTGTTGTCCCCTCGGATCCTCCGCCTCCCGTCGAGGAACCTGCACTCGCCGCTCCTGCTGTTCTGTCGACTGTCCATGTGGACCTTGCGGCTCCGCCTGTCCCGGCTGTCCCTGCGAGCGCTGCGGCTCTGTCTGCTGCGGCCGATCTCCCTGTTGCCCCGCCTGTCCCTGGGGTCCCTGAATCCCCGCCCGCTGTTTTTGAGCCTGTTGCGCCTGCCGCGGCTGTTGCTTCGTCGCCGATGGCGGTGTCCGCCACCACTGGCGGCCAGGCCTTGGTTGTGGCGCAGGCGGCGGCCGTTCAAGCGGCGCCTGTCGTTGCGCCAGTGGGGCAGCCGCGAGGCCCGCCGCCAGCTGGCCATCGCTCCTCGCGTCCCCACTCTCCTGCGCCCCGTGAGGAGCGGGAATCATTGCGCCGTCGCCGCGACTCTCCCCGTCGTAGCCGCCCACAGCCAAACTGGAACCGCGGCGGTCGCGGCGGTTGGGGGGGGGGGCGCGGATATGGCGGCGGTCCGGCGTATGTGCCTCCAGTGTCTCTTGCGGATGTTCAGCGCGTCGTCTCCACGGCGATACGCGAGGAGAGGGCTGCGCAGCGCCTTGCGCCGGCCCCTCCAGCTCCATCTCCTGTCCCCGTTCATGTGGCAGCGTCTCCGTTTCCCGTAGCAGTGGCTCCTCCTCCTCTCGCCCCCCCTGCGCCTGCTGCGGTTCCCGGGCGTCACGTGAACCTGCCGTGGGTTCCTCCTGCCGCGCCTCCTCCTCAGTCTCCAGCCGGTGACACGCAGGCGTTCCCGGCGTTGGGGGGACCTCCTCGCATGGCTGAAGTCCCCGAGGCGTCTCTTGGCCAGTTGTGGCGCCTCGCGGAGGGCTTGCGGGCCGTGCACCTGATCCAGGCGCATGGTCATGCCACTCTCTCTCATGGCGGCTCTCTGGACGGTCGCCAGAGGGACGAATTGCTTGATGCCTCTGATCGCCTTGCGGAGCTGCTGGCGCCCGTGTTGGCTGCGCCCCGTGATGGGCGTAGTTGCGGGGGTTGGGCAGCTCGGTACTGCTGTCCGTGGGCTGCGGCGGATTTTGCGCACTGGCTCAGGAGCCGATGTGATCGGCGCAAGCACGGCGGCGGTGCGGGAGCTCCACCGCTCTCTGACTGGTCTGCTAGCGGTTCTTGATGCAGACCAGTTTTAGCTCTCTCCTCGTCCTGCTCCATTTGTGTTTTCACTGCTTGCTAGGCCGTAGTAGTTGCCATTGCATGTATGTCGTTGATTTTAGTCACTTGTATGTTTCCGCCCTTGCCACCCCCAATTGCGCGGCCGAAGGCCGCGCCGTCGAGCGTCGGCCGCCGAGCCGCTCGGGTGGGAGAGCAACTCAACTGAAAATTGAATATTGGGGAAGGATGGCAGCCTCTGTGGCCTTTATACTAGGGCTAGGGAGGCTAGAGAGGCTAAAAGAGGCTGAAAACGGCTAAGTCCCTATGTGCCTCTCTCTCTCTCTCTCTCTCTCTCTCTCTCTCTCTCTCTCTCTCTCTCTCTCTCTCTCTCTCTCTCTAATGGTCCGTATATTGATAAGCCAGAAGGGTACACACATGCAATGAGAGACAGAAGGTTACTAACATGCAAGGTAGCCTAGACTATCCGACACCTCTAGGTCACCTAGAGCTCAAGAAGAGGATCTAGGACAGTAAAACAATCCCCTAGGTATAATTCTTGCCCTATCCCCCCTACAGGCGGGTTCTCTGCAGCAGCCGCCTCTCCTAATTTGATCATGAGACCCACGGATTGGGCCCTCTGCAGTGCAACCGACCACCTCTGCCTGAACTGGTGCAGAAACTTCGCGGCATGAAAGGATTTGGAGTCGGCGTTGAAGTATCGCCGAGCCGCCGTGTCTGCAAGGAGTTTCAGGAACACAGGGACCTCCGCACAAGGGCAGCCGTAGGTCTCCACTGCGAGAGGGAAGAAGCCCACTGTCTCTGGCAGGTGGCTTTTCATAGTGCTTGATCTTTTTGTCTGCATGCTCCCGGGCTGCCTATCCCCTGCCTCTCCGTGCCTCCGGGTCCCTGGTACTAATAGGGTCTGTGACCATCACATCACACACCCAAACCGCCCCACTGCTTCTGTCCGTCATGGTAAAGTCTGCTATCTGCTCCTCTATGGGGCAGTAGACGTTTGTTTCCTTGTGTACTATGAACCCCGCGTCTTGCGCCATGCTGATGCATGCGTCGCGGAGTTCGTTATGAGTATTCGTCCGGTGCTTCCCCGTGCCGCAGCGGAAGAGGTGGTTGGGGAGGCGCGGGTCTGTGATAGCGGTGTGTTTTGCACAATCACAATTCTTCGGAGTAGAGAAAGGGAGGCCCAACCGGAAGCGCACCGCGTTGCTGAAGTGTACCGGGCCGATGCGCCGAGAGGAAGCTACCGGTACCGCCGTCAGCCAGTCCCCTGTGCCGTAGCCTGTGAGTGAGAACATTCTCTGTGTGTGCCCGGAGAGTGGATTCAGTCTCATTTGCCTCGTCTCCTGGACCTGTGCCGCGTACCTACTCCCCTGTACTTTGAGGGCCAGCGTGTGCTGAAGCTTGATGTCCGACCTAGAGAGCCGCTCCTGGTCAACTACGTCGCGTGCGTCTGAGGGTAGGGCTGTCTCGCACTCTGTGAGCCTGGAATGAAGTGGTGTGGTGACGTCTCGGGGCAGAATCATGTGGCTGTGTGCTCGGGTCAGTGCTGTGTCTGGTGCTAGCGTCAGGGAGGAAAAGAAGAGTGCGGCCTGTGTGAAGCTGGCTACGAAGCCATAGACGCCTTCTACGAGTGGGTCCGTGATTCCTAGGCCGCCCAGGGATGATGGAAGCGATGCCTGCGCCCACACTCTCATCTGCTCCGTGCTACAGGTAAGGACTCTAATCCCGCAGGATGTCAGGAGCGCGGCTAGGAGGTCTCTCCCCCACTGCGCCCAGGTGTCTCGTGGAAGAAGGTTCAGCGGTGTGGTCCTAGTGAGGTATGCGACACGTCTCGAAATGCAGCGGGTCAGGAGCAGGGAGGCTACTTGGGGGTCGGCACGTTCTAACAGTGGCAGCGGCTTAGCCATTTCGTCTAGCTGCCCCGCCAAGAATTTGGCGGCGCCGGTCGCTGGCCCCAGGAAATTGCCCAGTAGGCATATCCCGTCCTTTGAAAACGGGACCCCTAGTGGCAGCTGCGTTGACTCGTCGCCGCTTGTGCTCCATGCTGCACATTTCTGTGGGTTATGTTTGAGCCCCAGCTGCGCTAGCTTGCTGGTGAAGAAATTGAATGCTGCTACAGAGTCTGTGTCATCCCCCAAAAATGTAACGTCGTCTGCATACGCCAAGCAGAGAACGTGGGGGTGTGCGTCGGCAGTTTCGCGAAGGGCTGGGTGAATCCCTGCTGCGAACAGTAGAGGGCCGAGTGGGTCCCCCTGCCTCATGCCGAGTTCACTGTTTAGCGGGAGGCTGGCGAAGTTCGAGTCGAGATACAGCTTCGACGGGTTACCGTACGTTAGCCGCACCAGAGGGAGTAGTGACGAAAGGTTGTTGTCGCGTAACCCGTCGATGATTGCCTTTCGCGAAATGCTGTTAAAGGCGTTTGAAATGTCAGTCTGTAACATCACGCAGCAGTCTCTCGAGTCAACGAAGGCACGTGCGACATGGATGTTTGCCTCAGCTCCCCCTGGTACCGCAACCCCGTACTGTAGTGGCAAGAAGTGGTCACGTGCAGCTTCCCCAATTGCGGTCAGAGCTGCCTTGGCCGCGAGCCGCGTCAGGCATTCGCCAATTGCAATTGGCCGAACCCCCCCACCTGGCTTGGACAGCGCGATTAGGCGTGACTCTGTCAGCAGGTCTGCCACTGGCTCGGGTAATTTGCCTGCCAGGATGGTGTTGACTAGGGCATGCAGATGGGTGCAGACCGATGCGTTGGTTGCAGATACGTCGCACAGGTGTTCGAATGCGGTTCCGGACGGTCCAGTTCCCACCCCATTTTCACACCGACCCAAGAGTTTGGAGAAATCGGCTTAGCTGATTTGCGGGTTCGGGCCAGCTATTGTTGGCCAGCTCAGCTGCTCGTCGACGGCTCGCGAGTGTTTCGCGCAGAGTTCATCCAAGATTGCTGGGCCCGGCGTGCAGACTGGGGTTGACTCGAGGGCCAGCACGGCTCGGCGCAGACTTCCTCGCTTGGCCAGGCCCTCCGCCCTGCTGAGTACTCCCGCCTC